ATAGAGCATCTCTTGGGTATATTCCCAGGAGTGGTATTGCTGGGTCCAGGGGTAAGTTGATCCCGAATTTCCTGAGAAACCGAAACACTGACTTCCACAGTGGTTGCACAAGATGGCATTCCCACCAACAATGGATGAGGGTACCCGTTCCTCCACAGCCTCTCCAGCAAAGGTTATCCTTGGTGTTTTTGACTTTAGCCATTCTGACAGGTGTAAGATGATATCTCAAAGTTGTTTTGATTTGCATTTCCCTGATTGCTAAGGAAGTTGAGCACGACTTTAAGTGTCTTTTGGCCATTTGAACTTCCTCTGCTGAGAATTCTCTGTTCAGTTCAGTGCCCCATTTTTTAATTGGGTTAATTAGCATTTTAAAGTCTAGTTTCTTGAGTTCTTTATATATTTTGGAGATCAGACCTTTGTCTGTTGTGGGGTTGGTGAAGATCTTCTCCCAATCAGTAGGTTGCCTTTGTGTCTTATTGACTATGTCCTTTGCTTTACAGAAGCTTCTCAGTTTAAGTAGGTCCCATTTATTCAATGTTGTCCTTAATGTCTGTGCTTCTGGGGTTATACATAGGAAGCGATCTCCTGTGCCCAGCTCCTGTAGGGTACTTCCCACTTTCTCTTCTATCCCTGACTTCAAACTCTATTACAGAGCTACAGTAATGAAAACAGTGTGGTACTGGCATAAAAACAGAGAAGTCGACCAATGGAATCTCAGACTCATTTTCATTTGCATTTCCCTGATGGCTAAGAATGTTGAACATTTCCCTAAGTGTCTTTTGGCCATATGGGTTTCTTCTATTTAAATTCTCTGTTTAGATCTGTACCCCATTTTAAATTGGATTATTTAGTGTTTTGATGTCTAATTGCTTGAGTTCTGTATATATTTTGGAAATCAGTCCTCTGTCTGATGTGGGGTAGTGAAGATATTTTTCCATTTAGTAGGCTGCTTTTTATCTTATTGACTGTGATTTTTGATTTACAGAAGCTTCTCAGTTTTAGGAGGTCCGATTTATTTATTGTTGCCCTCAGTGTATGTGCTGCTGATATTATTATATTTAGGAAGTGGTCTCCTGTGCCCTTGCATTAAAAGCTGCTTCCCACTTTCTCTTCTATAGGGTTCAGTGTGGTATGATTTATAATGAGGTCTATAAATCATTGGGACTTGAGTTTTGTGCTTGAGGATAGATATGGATCTATTTTCATTCTTCTACATGTTGACATCCAGTTATGCCAGCACAGTTTGTTGAAGATGCTTTTTTTTCCATTGTATAATTTTAACTTCTTTGTTAAAAATTAGGTGTTTGTAGCTGTGTGGATTAATATACAGATCTTCAATTTTATTCCATTGGTCAAACACTCAGATTAATACCAATACCAGACCATTTCATTATTGTAGCACTCTTTTAGAGCTGGATATCAGGGACGTTGATGCCTCTAGAAGTTCTTTATTGTACAGGAGTGTTATGGCTATTTAGGTTATTTTGTTTTTTCAATGAAGTTGATTATTGTTCTTTCAAAATCTGTGAAGATTTTTTTTGGGATTTTGATGGGGATTGCATTGAATCAATAGATTGCTTTTGGTAGTATTGCCATTTTTATTATGTTGAGCCTACCTATACAGGAGCATGGGAGATCTTTCCATTTTCTGGTATCTTCTTCAATTTCTTTCTTCAAATATTTAAAGTTCGTGCCAAACAGGACTTTCACTTGTTTGGTTAGTGTTACCCACAAGATATTTTATGTTATTTGTGGCCTTTGTGAAGGGTGATGTTTCTCTGATTTATTTCTCAGCTTCTTTATCATTTGTATATAGGAAGGCTACTAATTATTTTTAGTTGATCTTGAATCCTTTAATATTATTATTATTATTATTATTATTATTATTATTATTATTGTTGTTATTATTATTATTCATCTGTAGAAGTTCCCTAGTAAAGTTTTGGGGGTCATGTATGTATGCTCTCATATAATATGCAAGTAACAAAGTTTGACTTCTTCCTATCCAATTTATATCCACTTTATCTCCTTTTGTTGTCTATCACTCTAGCTAGAACATTAAGAACTATGTTGAATAGATATGGAAAGAGTGGACAGCCTCGTCTTGTTGCTAATTTTGGTATAATCCCTTTGACTTTCCCTCCATTTAATTTGATGTTGGCTGTTGTCTTAGTGTATTGCTTTTATTATGGTTAGATATGTTCCTTGTATCCCAGTTCTCTCCAAGACCTTTATCATAATGTTGTTTCAAATGCTTTTTCAACATCTGATGAGAATATCATATGATAATCTTTCAGGTTATTTTGTGGTAGGTTGCATTGATAGAATTCTATATGTTGAACAATCCCTGCATCCTGCGATGAAACTGACTTGATCATGGTGGATGATTTTTTTATGTGTTCTTGGGTTCAGTTTGCCAGGTTTTTTTTGAGGGGGAGTCTTTTTTGTTTTTTTGATACAGGGTCTCTTTGTAGCTTTGGAGCCTGTCCTGGAACTAGCTCTTGTAGACCAGGCTGGCCTGGAACTCAGAGAGATCCATCTGCCTCTGACTCTGCCTCCCGAGTGCTGGAATTAAAGGTGTACACAATAATTTATTGAGTAATTTTGGATCAATGTTCATGGGTGAGATTGGTCTGTAATTCTCTTTCTTGGTTGTGTCTTTGTGTGGTTTTGGTATCAGGGTAACTGAAGCCTCAGAAAAAGAATTTGATGATGTTCATTCTATTTCTATTTTGTTGAACACTTTGCTTAGTAAAATTATTAGCTATTCTTGGATATTCTTGTACAATTCTGCACAGAAACCATTCAACTCTGGGATTTTTTTTGGTTAAGAGGCTTGTGATAACAGCTTCTATTTCCTTACAGTTTGTACATCTATTTAAATTGTCAACCTGGTCTTGTTTTAAATTTGGCAGATGGTATCTATCTAAAAATTTGTCCATTTCTTTTACATTTTCCAATTTTGTGGAGTTCAGGCTTTTGTAGTATGACCTAATGATTCTCTGGATTTCCTCACTCTCTGTTGTTATATGCCCCTTTTCACTTCTTATGTTCTTAATCTGGCTATTCTATCTCTGCCTTTTGATTAGTTTGGATAATTGTTTGTCTGCATTGTTGATTTCTGTATTGTTTTCGTTGTTTCTATTTTGTTGACTTCAGCCTTCATTTTGATTATTTCCTGTCTTCTTCTCCTTCTGCATGAGTCTGCTTCTTTTTGTTCTAGAGCTTTCAGGTGTGCTATTAGGTCACTAGTGTGAGCTTTCCTCACATTCTTTATGTGGGCACTTAATGCTATGAACTGTCTTTTTAGCACTGCTTTCATAGTGTCCCATAGGTTTTGGTACACTATGCCTTCATTTTTGTTGAATTCTAGGAAGTTTTTGGTTTCTTCGTTTATAGCTCCCCAAGACCCAGGGGTGCTTCAGTAGAGCACTGTTTATTTTCCATGTGTTAGTGGGTTTTCAGAAATTAGTGTTACGGTTGAATTCTAATGTTAAACCACAGTGGTCCAATAAGATCCTGGGGTTACTCCATTTTTTTGTATCTGTTGAGATTTGGTTTGCTACCAAGTATGTGATCAATTTTAGAGAAGGTTCTGTGAGGTGTTGAGAAGAAGGTATATTCTTTTGTATTTGGGTGGAATGATCTATAGGTGTCTGTAAATTACATTTGATTCATTAATCTGTTAGTCTTCTTATTTCTCTTAACGATTTGGTATGCTTTACCTATCCATTGGGGAGAATGGGGTGTTTAAGTCCCCAACTATTAATGTGTAGGGTTTGATTTACAATTTAATCTTTAGTAAAGTTTCTTTTACATATGTGGGTGTTCTTGTATTTGGGGCATAGAGGTTCAGGATAGAGACTTCACCTTGATGGATTGGTCCTGTTATAAGTATAAGCTGTTTTTCTTCATCTCTTTTGATTGATTTTAGTTTGAAGTCTATTTTGTTAGATATTAAAAGAGCTACACCCACTTGTTCTTTAGGTTCATTTGGTTGGAAAATCTTTTCCCAACCATTTACTCTGAGTTAATATATGTCTTTGAGGTGGAAGCATGTTTCTTGTATAAAGAAGTAGGCTGGATCATGGTTTCATAATCATTCTCTTAAAGCCTGTGACTTTCCATAGGTGAATTGAGTTCATTGATATTAAGAGATATTAATGGCCAGTGTTTGTTAATTCTTGTTATTTTTGATGAAAGTATGTGTTTCCCTTTTTGGGTTTTATTGGTGTGAGGTTATCTGTTGCATGTATTTGTATGTGTGCGGGTAGCTTTGTTTGGTCAGAGTTTTCCTTGTTGTATTTTGTGTAGTGCTGGATTTGTGGATAAATATTGTTTAAATCTGATTTCTCATGGATTATCTTGTTTGTCCATTGTGATTTAAAACTTTGCTGGTTTTAGTAGTCTGGGCTTGCATTTGTGGTGTCTTCAAGTAAACAGCACATCTGCCCAGGATGTGACTAGAAAAATATAAAAAAATAGTATACTACAGAAACATATAGAAAAAATCATAAAGCACAATTAAACAATGAAACAGTAAAAATCATAAAAAATATTTAAGATGTAGTTAAGTGATATTGAATATGTTAAAGAATTAAAATAGGAAAAAGACAACAGGGAAATGTATGATGAATAATATAGTTATACTCTCCATTAGGGCATGTTCTTGGTGGTTTGTCCTTTTTATCCTATCTTTTCCTTGATGATTCATGTAGAAAAAAAATTGATGAAAGGTAAGGTGCTGTTTGTAATATTACATCTAATCTAGAATACCAAATTTATGGGATTGCATTTCACAAAATTGTTTAGCCACAATATGCTGGTATTTTTATTAATTCTTTGGAAAATTTGCTGAGTAACTTATTGTACTTTAGTTCATACTCATCTGGTGTTCTTGAAGCAGTTATGGGACTCTGTAGAGGAGAATCAGTTTTGGATGTCAGCTGATCCAAGCCATGTATCAGCTACACAATTTACATCCTTCACTTTTCCTTTAGGTATCTGCACAAAGTGTCCCCAGCACTTATTCGGGCCTTAGAAGTCAGTCTCTTTCTAGCTCGCCACAAAAAGGAGTCAGTCCTTCCATGATCTTCCCACTGATGTCATTAGAATCATATTCATTAAGGATTTCTGCTTCTTTCGTGAATATGGAAATTCTGCCTTTGCTACACATCTTATGTTTGACATATTTTTATTTGACAGCAGTGTAGGCCCTCATGGTTGCAAATTTACAGCTCATGATTCTTCAACCTGTGGTTTCTAAAGAAAAATTTGCTATGAGGATAGATAATTAAGGGCAAGGGTGAACTCTGGAACTTCACATGAAGATAATCTGCCTCCCATTCACATACCCCAAGTTAGCTTGTAAATCTGCAGCTTAAATTGTCTTACTTTGTTTAATATTTCCAGCACACAGATTTTTAGTATACACAGTATTTTGGAGTATGTCTTTTAGAATAATGCTAAGAAAGAACACATCAAGTTTGTGATGAACTATTGTATCCTTAGTCTAAGTAAAGAAATTTTTACATGGACACTTGATAAACTCTTTCCTTTCATGACAGGGAATCTTGACATTCCAAGATGTGGCAATTGATTTCTCTCCAGATGAGTGGGACTGCCTCGACTTTGCACAAAGGGCTTTGTACAGGGAAGTCATGTTGGAGAACTACAGTAACATGGTCTCTGTGGGTGAGACTTTTTTCTTTCATGATTCCTTCTTTATCATAATTGTTTCCTACAAGTATGTTTTACATCTATGTCTGAATTGTCTGCCTCATATTCATTTGCCAATTTAATAAAAATCTTGGAGTTCATTATGTAGGACACAATGTTTTATGTAACTTTATCTTGTCAATATATTCCTGACTCCTGGAGATAACATTCATCATTCAAACTTTCATAATACATTTTACTTTTCAGACACATCATAGATTATATATTAATTTGCATCTTAATGATTCATAATGTGTTTTCATTTGATCCAGTAGTAATTTACAAGGAAACTCAAGGTATACAATAGTAACAAAAATGCTTTTGAGTGTGTGAAAATATTTGGAGATAGCAATAAAAAATCATATTTGGAATTTTAAATTATAGGCCATATTATATAATCAGTATGATGGTTTATGAGAAATCCATATGTTTTATTGTTATCCCAAGTTATGGTGATAGGTCTCTTCTATATGCAGGTCTTTCACTGTCAAAACCAGACCTGATCAGGTTTCTTGAACAAAGCAAAGAGCCCTGGAACGTGAACTTTGGAGAGACAGAAGGCATTGAACAAGGTAAGGCAGAATGAAGCATTGGCACACGTGGGAAACCTAGGGCATGGAGAAATTCTGCCCTGAAGTGTGATGCATGGTGTAGGAAGTCCTTTTGTTTATGTGTTGTTTTCATTGGTTAATCAATAAAGAAACTGCTTGGCCTGATAGGGCAGAACTTAGGTTGGCAGAACAGACAGAACTGAATTGTGGGAGGAGAAAAGCAGAGTCAGCGTGAGAGAGTCGCCATGGAGACACCAGGTCAGACATGCTAAATCTTTCCTGGTAAACCACAACCTCATGGTGAACACAGATTAATAAAAATGGGTTAAATCTAAATGTGAAAGTTAGCCAATAGGTGGCTGGAGCTAATGGCCAAGCAGTGTTTTAATTAATACAGTTTTTGTGTGATTATTTCGGGTGTAAGCTAGCCAGGAAGGGGGAACAAAAGGCTCCCTCTCCCTGTAACAGATGCACAAATATTTCTACCTAAAATTATGTAAAAATTCACATTTAATGATTATTCCAAATACTTTATAAGTAAAATAACCTAAAAATTCACTTTTAATAATTAACTTGAATTATGGTATAAAGTAGAAGTAAAATGATTTGTTGCCATATCTTTGAACTCTACCAGTCCTTGAAATGAAATATTGAAATGAAAATTAGCATTTAAATGTTTTACAATGTTTGAAGGAGTATTGCTCTGTACCTGTTCATGTCTGTTCGTCTGTGATCATTACAGAATTCCATGGTTTTCACTGTTGTATAGTCTCACATAAAATCAGGAAATATAAATCATATTCATTTTGGAACCTTGTAGAGTTCATTATTTATGTCAGATACTGTAGAACTTAAAAGGTACCTTTTTATTTCTGCAAAATATTCTTTAGAAATTAAGACTTGTTTAGGGTCATACACATTATTGGTCTAATGTAATGTCACCTACTAATCTCTGACTATCAAAATTTATATGTTAATATCTAAAAAATGTTGTATAAGCACTTGTTTTCCTTTGTGTTTTATATCTGCATTGGAATTTGTTTGGGGAAACAAATTTATATATCCACAATATTTTACTTTTAATACTTTTATTAGTGATTTAAAAATACTTTGCAGTGTCATTTGACCAAATTCAACTCTCCACTCTTCCCATGTTCCACTTCCTCCAGACATTTTTCGTTTTTTTCCGCTTCTTTCTTTTTCAATCACAAAGTTCAATCTAAAACTTTCATAAAATTCGGAGTGTTGAGCCTACATGGCCTACAATATGGTTGAACAACCAGAAGTTTAACATTCTTTTGTTTGTCTGTTTGTTTTTAAATTTATTTATTTATTTATTTATTTATTTATTTATTCTGGATACAGTATTCTTAGTATTCTGTTTCCCTGCAGGCCATCAGAGGGCGCCAAATATCTTTAAAGATGGCTGTGAGCCACTATGTGGTTGCTGGGAATTGAACTCAGGACCTCTGGAAGAGCAGTCAGTGCTCTTAACCTCTGAGCCATCTCTACCACCCCGAGTTTCACATTCTGAAAATCAACATTATTCTTTTTCTCCAAAAATCTTTAAGATGATAGTAGCTTCTCAGCAAGGCATGCTTCTCCAGGTCCTTTCTTTCTGTCTCCCAAGGATTTTAAACTGGCTTGAGGTTTCTCAGGTCTGATCCATTCTATCCTAATCACTTGAGTTTATATGGGCAACTGTCATGTTGTGTACAGAAAGCACTATTTTCTTATAGTCATTCATGACTGCATGTCTTGTTATGTATCATCACTGTGTCCTGAATGAGCTCTGAACATTCCATGGAATAAGTGTGCTATAAACATACTCTTCAAATTAAATATTATCTTGTTGTTTGGACCATGTCCACCTGTGAGTCAATTTTAATTGTCAAATTCTGCCAGAATTTGGGAATAAAGGCTTAGGGATGCAAGTCTGTGGGTATATCAATAGGACATTAAGAGTAATTTTAATACTAAGCAAAATAATGATAGTAGGTGGTACCTTCTATCTTTTAATAATACTTCTTGAATTAACATGAATACTTCTCAAATTATTCTACAAAATAAAAACTGCAGAACACTGTGAAATTCTTTTCATGAGGACAGTTACCTTGATACCTAAACCACATATACGCCCAAAATGTAAGTGAAATATATGTCAATTTCATGATGAACATATATACAAAAGTCCTCAATAAAATATTTGCATCCTATATCCAAGCACATATCAAAAAGAAAATCTACCATAGGCTTTATGTCAAGACATGTAAGGATAGATGAAAAATTCAAAATCAATAAATATAAACTTGTAGAAACTTAAAGTCTAATTCCAGAAGTTCATCTTATTAGATGCAGAAAAGCCTTTGACAATATTAACACCCCTTCTTGACAGAAGTCTTGGAGATAGTAGGGGTACAAGAAATATACCTCTACTTAAAAGATGCAATTTGCAGAAAGTGTATAGCCAACATCAAACTAAATGGAGAGAATTCAAAGCCTCTCCATAAAAAAAGGGAACAATGTAAGTGGACTTAATCTCTCTATATCTATTCAATACAGTACTTGAAATGTTAGCTTGAACAAGAACACACATAAAGAAGATCTAGAAGTGATTAATAGCAAAGAAACAAATCAAAAGAATATTATATGCAGAGGCTATGATTTTACGTAAGAAATTTATGAAGAAACTTGTCCAGCTGAGAAACACTTTCACCAAGGATAGGAATGCAAAATTGACTAACAAAAAGCAGTATCCTTCCTATATACAAATGAGAATAGACTTAAATAGAATTCAGGGAAATGAGGCCTTTCACAATAACCTCAAAAATAGTTTTGGGTAATTTGAATTAAAACAGTTAAAGACCTTTATAAAAACTTTAAGACATTGAAGAAATGAATTGAAGAATATATTGGAAGATAGAAAAATACACTTGCTCAAGGATTGGTCAATAGATATAGTAATATACTGATTCAGTGAAAAGCCCTATCAAAATTCTAACACAACTCTTCTCAGATCCCCAAAACACTGTTTTCAGCCTCATATATATACAAACAAACAGAAACCTCACAATAGCTTATACAACCATGAAAAATAAAACTATAAACAATATACCATTCAGAGTTTTAAATTATACTACATTTATAATAAGTAGGTTTTGTATAATAATGGTATGGCTAAAAAACAGATATATTGATCAAAAAATAAAATTGTAGATACTAACTTATGTCCACTCATCTATTACATTCATTTTGTAAAAGAATCTTGAAAAATAAGAGCATTTAATTCTAATCTTACCTAGGCTGTTTCCAACAGACCATGAGTCCCCAAAGAACAAATAAATTTTCTCCAAGTGATTCTCAGTGGGGATAAAAGTAACACTTACAGGAATTCCCCGTAACCAGCACTTGAAGGATATCACCAACACAACTCAATGGAATTTTTGTACATTCTTTACCACCCATAATGTATAGTTTGGGAATTTATTTATTTTTATTTTTGACCATACAGAATCTTTATGTACATTACACCTTCTGGAGTTTTCTTTTGCTTTATTTTATGCAATTTTCCGGGTACAAATGTGTGTCTTTCTCTCTATAAATACTGTGCTTTTCTTTATTTCCCATTCTTCTCTGATCCTATCTGACTTCTTTGATTCTTATTATATTATTTTATTGTTATTCTTTAGATGCCTATTTATTTTCGAAGAAGTGACTGAAATTGGGTAAATTCAGACATAAATAAAGATAGGGATGATCTCAGGGCATTTGAGGGATGAAAAGTCATCATCAGAATATATTTTATGAAAACATCTATTTTCTGTATAAGAAAAAGAGAAAATATATCTCAGATGAAAAAGATCAGTCCTAGTGAATTTCCTTGATGTCTGATATTTTATGGATCTCTTCCTTGGGGTATACATGATTCTCTGTTGACCAGCTGGAAGTAACTCTTTCCAGTTCATCATTTGTTCTTTCCTTATTAATTAATATTCTGTCTAATTTCTTTTTTTTCTTTTTTTATTGAGAAAAGGAAAAAAAAGTATCCGCCTCCTCCCAGCCTCCCATTTCCTTCCCCCTCCTCCCACCCTTCTCCCCCTCCCCCAAACTCTTCTTCCCCTCCCTCTCCAGACCAAAGAGCAGTCAGGGTTACCTGCCCTGTGGAAAGTCCAAGGTCCGCCCCCCTCCGTCCATTTCTAGGAAGGTGAACATCCAAACTGGCTAGGCTCCCACAAAGCCAGAACATGAAATGGCAAAACCCTGTGCCATTGTCCTTGGCTCCTCGTCAGTCCTCATTGTTCGCCATGTTCAGAGAGTCCGGTTTTATCCCATGCTTTTTCAGTCACAGTCCACCTGGCCTTGGTGAGCTCCCAATAGATCAGCCCCATTGTCTCAGTGGGTGGGTGCACCACTCCTGGTCCTGACTTCCTTGCTCATCTTCTCCCTCCTTCTGCTCCTCATTGGGACCTTGGGAGCTCAATCCAGTGCTCCTGTGTGGGTCTCTGTCTCTATCTCCATCCATCACCAGATGAAGGTTCTATGGTGATATGCAAGATATTCGTCAGTATTGCTATAGGATAGGGTCATTTCAGGTTGCCTATCCAGAGCTGCCCATGGGACTAAATGGGGACATCACCATGGGCTCCTGGGAGCCGCTCTAGGGTCAAGTCTCTTGCCAACCCTAAGGTGGATCTCTTAACTAAGAATTGTGCTTCCGTGCTCCCCTGTCCAATCTTCCTTTATCCCAATCCTCCTGTTTCCCCAAGATCCCCCCTCCTTCCCTTCTCACTTTTCTCTCCCTATCTCCCCTTATCCCCCTCCCACGCCACCCACATGATCTCAATTTTCTCCCCGGCAATTTTGTCTACTTCCCATAGCCAAGAGGATAACTATATGTTTTTCCTTGGGTTCACCTTCTTATTTAGCTTCTTTAGGTTCACCAATTGTAGTCTCTGTGAATCTGTCTAATTTCTTAATATTACTCAATTTTTTCATTTCAAGGGATTGTACGGATGTGTTAAATCCATTAAGATAATTCAATTTTATGAGTGTAATTTTTTGCACTTGGGTTTTAGACTTTGTATTAGTTACTTCTTATGTATTGCTGTGATAAAATTCCAAGATAAAGGCAATATATAGAAGAAAAATCCATGACGATGAATCAGAGGTAGCAGTTGGCCAGGGGCTAGAGCAGCAGTGAGAGGTCCCATCTAGAATCACAACAGGAAGTAGATAGCTCACTGTTGTTATTAGAAGGCTTTAAAATTCTTAAAGCCAGTGTTCAAGGCATAGGTGATCCAGTAAGTTGATACCTCTTTATCCTACCCATAAATATCCACCAACATTAGACTATGTATTCAGATATCTGATTAAATGGGGTCATTTCACTCAAACCACCATAATCCCATTTATCATTCTAAAACTGTGATTGGAACCTCTAAGATAACATAAACTCAATCTTTTCATTTTTATAATGTACTTAATATATGTTATAAAAATATTCTATCAATTTACATTAAGAAGATTGTTTCATTAGAATAAATGATTTGAAGTTTATTTTATATAATATGCCATCTTGCATATATGTCTACATATATATAAAATTGTGTCACTTATATTTTTGAAAAGGTTTCACCTAACTATACTAATTCAGATAACTATATATTTGTCTTTCATCCAGTTTCATATTATCATCAAACAGAAGACTTATTTTCACAAGAGAATAGACAAGATTGTATCCAGAAGTTGGTATCAGGAATAGCTGTAAGTAGTGACTTAAAAACCTTTCTTTTAGAGATGATTTCAATATTTGGTGAAGAAAAAAAAGAGAAAGGATTATGACATGATTGAAATAATCTCTATTCATCAGCCATCCTAAGCAGTACAAGAAATAAAGGTCAGTAATTTCTACCTTATCTGGAAAGCTTTCACATTAGATCGCTTACAATTTCAGAAGCAGTTTCCTCAGTAAAAAAATACAAAGAAATTTTAAAGCATTTTTTTCTACAAAGAATATTTAGAAACCTAAAAACTGAATAACACGTATTCTATTAAACATTCATTAGAGTTTTCTCACCAAATTTACGTTTTGTTACAAGCTATTTGTGAGATAAACATGAGAATTTTATCTCAATCAAATGAGAATGAAAATATATCAGAGAATTTTCAGTCATGAGAAACGTTACACATTCAATGATGTTATTAAAGCCTTTCCTAGGAACTCTTAGAAGAAGAGTTTCCAGAATCCTCTTCTTAAAGGGACAAATTCCTAAAAATCAAATCACAGTATATCTATTCTCATTATATAAGTTCATAGAAGAAGTCTGTTTTTCCTAAGAGCCCATACATACATGATATTTGTAAGGATGATTTTGATTGTAACACAACTTCTTTTTGTTTCAGCATGACCAGAAACAAGGGAGGCATGATATAAATCATCAAAATGAAGAGAGACAAAACAATTATATAGAATGTGGAAACTGCTTCAACAGATATGCATGCCCCACTATGCATAAGAGAATTAATTCCAAAGAGAAGGCAGGCAAATGTAAAGATTGTGGCAAGTCATTTATCCGTCACACAAAATTTCAATCTGACCAGAGAATTCATACTGGTGAAGAACCTTACAGATGTCAAGAATGTGGTAAGTCCTTTACCTGGGCCTCAGCTTTTCAGAGACATCACAGAATCCATACTGGTGAGAAACCTTATAGATGTCAAGAATGTGGGAAGTCCTTTACCCAGCTCTCCAATCTTCATATTCATCACAGAATCCATACTGGTGAGAAACCTTACAGGTGTCAAGAATGTGGCAAGTCCTTTACCCATGCCTCAACTCTTCTATCTCATCAAAGAATTCATACTGGTGAGAAACCTTACAGATGTCAAGAATGTGGCAAGTCCTTTGCCAGGGCCTCAAATCTTCATAACCATCAAAGAATTCATTCTGATGAGAAACCTTACAGGTGTCAAGAATGTGGCAAGTCCTTTACGTGGGTCTCAACGATTCTATCTCATCAAAGAATTCATACTGGTGAGAAACCTTACAGGTGTCAAGAATGTGGCAAGTCCTTTACCCAGGTCTCATATCTTCACACTCATCACAGACTCCATACTGGTGAGAAACCTTACAGATGTCAAGAATGTGGCAAGTCCTTTACCCATAGAAAAACTCTTCACATTCACCACAGACTCCATACTGGTGACAAGCCTTAAATGTAAAGAATGTGACAAGTCCTTTCACACAAATTCAAGTCTTAGAAAGCATCACAAAATGCATTTAATGGGTACATTTCATGAAATTTCTTAGTATACCTCACATTAATTCATTGTACAGATCTTCATGCATTAGCCAAGTTATTTTACAGACTCACATCCTTCAATTAATTTTCAAATCTTAGTCATTACTTAGACAGCTATGCGGTTCTTAGAAATTTAGAAACATTGTATCCAGATTTGAACTTTATTGTCATCAAACATTTGTTGTAAACGGAATTTATATATCATTGTAAACATGCTATTCAAGAATAATTACTATAAATAGGTAAACATTTCTAGTAGGAGTAAATTGAACTATAACATTTCTTGACTGTATGTTAAGAAAATGTATGATAAAAACAGCCAATCTCACACTAGTTCAGATTTTGATGCACATTTAATTTCTTGGAATATGGTTGGTTATGGAATGAGGTTATACTCTATATAAACATTATTTTTCTGTGATTTTTTTGTGATTCTTAAATAAATATTAGCCTGCTTTAAAATTCAAGTCTTTTAATTTCTGACTTTGCAACAAAACCGTTACATTTTGTCCCATTTTTATTGCATTTTTTTCTGATAGTCTATTCTCTAATAGTAGAGTATCGTAAGTGTGAACACTTCCATGGATGAGCTGGTAGGACAGAGAATGACACACTACATTGATTACTTTAAACTTTGTATAATTGTGGTTCAAATCAGTGTGTTATAGTTGGAAGATATCAATGGGCATGCAAAACTGGAGAAGGAAAAATTACAAGGCAATAACATCAAACAAAGACCTCTAGTCATTTAGGAAAGCAGGGAGTGGGAGGGGTGACCTTCTCCAGAGAGAAACACATAAACTGATTGTACAGGAACCAATGGACATGCCTGAAAACATATAGAATTGTTACTTCATATGGATTCGTCTCCTTGTATTTAGGAACATATGTATATACAAATTTATGTATAAAAATAGCAATGCATGAATAAAGAAGATAAACTTGAAAGAGAACAGAGATTGTGGTATATAGTAGGATTGGAAGTAGCATATCGTAAGTACAAAATTAATCTTATTATTCTGTACATTTTAATTTTATAAAATAAATAATGTGTTTGTATACACCCCCTTGTGTCCTTGTTATACTCCATCTAAAACATTTGTCCTCACAGTTCTGCAATTTTTTTCATCCTCCTTTTATATTTTTTCTAGATTCCATTTATGAGAGAAGACGTGTGCTATTTGTAATTTGGAGAGTTGTCTATTTCTTTGACTTAATGATACATAGTTGCAACAATTTACTTGAGACTTGTGTAATTTTTTCTACAATTTTATTCATTGATTGATTATCTTGCATTATTTATGCATATTATGTTTTCTTTATCCATATATTTAGATATATTGGTGGTTAACTAAGCTCATTCCCTGAATCATCTATTACATGAAGTGCAATGATAACAGTTTCACACAAACTCATGCAGACATATATGTGATTCAGCATAGTGAACTCACTATGATATGTACGCATATTTACGAGTGATTCAGCTGGTATGTGTATGGTAAATTTTCAGTCATATCTATCATTATAGCATCCACAGTACCTGGGATGTCTTAGTTTTCAATGAGCATAGCATATTTTTTCCCACTTCCTTGGCAGCATTTGTAAAATTTAGAGTTGGAAAAAATGTAATCACTAAAAGGGCACTCAAAGCTGGAATTATGGAACACTACAAATATTATTTCACTTAGTAAGAAATGAGTCTGGGACCCAAGAAAATGACCACAAAATCTAGAGTACTTGAGCCAGCTTATAAGTCCTGTTGAAAATGTATTGTAATGCAAGTGGTTGCCATAACTTAGCTTGAGTGGTCAGAGCTTGACCTCGTATTACTACATGCCTGGGTACCTTAACATGGTCCACTTGGTAAGCAGAATACACGTGTGTGACTCTTGGGCTACTTTGCACACATGTTTGTATTTCATATGTATGCTGGCATTTGATATACTGTCTCAAATATGCTGATTATGAAAATTGTTTTCAGCATGCAGACAATAAAACTCTGCTCTTTATCATCTACCATACACAAACTGCACCAAATGTGTCATGGATGTCAAAATGAAGCCTGATACCCTACAAATTCCAAAGGACACAGTTGAGAAAATCCTCCAACTTTTAAGCACAGCTAAGGGGATTCTGAATAGGACTCTTGTCCAATAGTCCATGAGACCAAAACTCAACAAATAGGATATTATGAAATTAAAACTTTTTATTTCAGCATAAGAAAATGTCATTTAAATGGGGCATACAGAATATGAGAAAGTCACTGGTGCAACGGTGACGTGAGAGTTATTGTGTATTTCACTTCCTACTGATCTGGTGAGGCCTGCACTCTAAGTAGGAATTAGTACCTGGCACTGTGTCCATGGTCAAAAGACCACGGCTGGATGAGTCATATATTCCTTTAAGATGATGCTACTGTTGTTACTTTGTGTGACAAGAGTAAGGAATTGTAAATATTTCCATATCTATGGATAGATATCTTTAGCTGTCAGCCTTGGTGAGAGGTTCTTCTTTATTGAGTTCACAGCAGCAAATGCACAGCCTCATAATTTCAAAATGTTGGAGTTCCCCTGAATGCTCATTCCTAAATGGGACCTGTAGAGCAACCATTCCCCCTAGACACAGGGGATGTCATGGAAATGGGTCCTGATTGTCGTGCCTGAGGGTGAGGACTACTGCTGTGACATGCTGTCTTTGAACATGACCAAACCACTGATCACTCACAAGAACTGTGATCACCTGCAGCTTCAGGTGACCATGTTCAGAACTGACTGTGAGTATCTGTCTTAAACTGGACAGCTGGAGGAGACAGCCTGCTGGTGAAAGAAAAAGCCTCCTAAGCCTTTGTCTCAGTACAGAAAATAAAAGAAAGTTCAAAGATGGCCATTGTATTATTTATCAGTTCCCCATTTCCCTGCTTTCTTTATCTGCCTCCCAGGGAAAACTGTGTCATTCATATTCCTTCAAATTAATGAGTTTATTGAGATTAATACAGGAATATAGGTACAGGATTGCTTACAGGAGTAGGAATAACTGAAGTCTGTAGTATCACAAAGGCTCCCATCAGAATGGGAGCCTCAGCCAAACTAGAACCATGAACATGTCTGCATGACTTTTTTCCAACTGACTGAGACAGAGGTTCTCGTTTCTTCAGTTCTCCTTACTTACCACCTATGTAAGTTTGAGAGAAGAAGATCCTTATTAATCTTTTAGCTCCAGCCTTCCCAGCCATGGTTTAAATGCTGAGTCTTATGAACTTCCTTCCTCTTTTCATAGAATTTTGTGAGACTTAAGGAAATACTCCTACTTAGGGAAGAACATACCTGTTGTAAATTCCATATCAAACAGTGAGTCTGGAAAGCATCCATGCTAGCTATAAAGAATGATTAGTTTACATTTAGGACTGTACAGCTGCATGCATATATTTATATGCTTGTAACCACAATGAATGAAAAGAGAGGTCATTAATGAGAAACAGAGCAAGGGAGAGTGTAGGGAGGGTTTGCAAGGATGAAAGGGAAGAGGAAAATGCAATTATAATCTCAAAATTAACAGAAACTAATTATATCAAAAAGGGAAAATTGTTACACCATACTTCACCCTTTCCTTAAATGTTAGTTGGTTCCACAAGAGTGCAGTCTACCATGGAGCTCTGCAAAGACACTAAAGCTGCACACCAGTCCTGAAGTCCCTGGTGAAGCACACTTCATTGTTCACCTCCTCTGTAAGCACAGCTCCATCATGCTCAGTGACTCGGCCATAAACACTGCTTCTCTCATACATAGTTTTTCAGGAAAACCTATCATTCCTCAGCTTCCAGCCTATGATATTTGTGAGAACTCTGCTTGAGATAACCAAGCATTCCGGTCCTTCCTTTGAGCCAGTCCATCATAAATGATTCATGAACATTGCATTAGATTATGTACCTTTTTGTCAATGAGGTTTGAGTAGGTGTGTGACCTTCATTCCCACTTCCATAACAGGTTAATACCATCTGTTCACATAGCCTCCAAGCTCATGTGTCAAGCTTTACCAGAATGTTTCATTGATTTTTTTTTAAGTCTTTTGTACTTCAGTAGTGGAGAGACAGAATACTTCCCGACTAAGATAGTGTCTTTGCAGGCCATTATAAGGTTCAAAAGCAAGAACTAGCATGCATTTTTCTTTTCTCTGTATAAAAGTTGCACCTGTCAACTTCTATCACCTTTATTCCAAACAGAATTTTATTCTCGTTATATACAAGTGTACTGAATTTTGTCCTAAGAATTTTAATGGATACTGCAGTTTCACATATGATCTTGATTCTTTGTCTTCCATAAACCTTCTGATTTATGATAAGTCTGTTTTCTGGCTTTGTTCACATCTTTCCATTTCCATTTTGAAAACTCTACAGATTTTACCTCTTGACAAAATTTATTAAGTGAAAAAAAGATTTTGTGAACTTGGTAACATAGAAGCAACAAAAACTGATATACCAATTCATTGAATTCATTATTCTTATTACATTTTTCATATAAAGAAACAGATTAAGATAATGTGTTTGTAAAGTTGTTAGCTCTTTCTCTTTTGTTTTAAGAACGACTTACATTTTTTTTATCCAAGACCCTTTCCACAATATTTTTTAGTGTCACAGAGACAGAAATTTAAAGAATATTACATTTAAGCAAGTATTGGAGAAGATATGGTTTACCAATATTTGGGGTAGGAAAATATGGAGAATGAAACCCAGATGGACGGATGGACGGACGGACAGACAGACAGACAGAGTATATACAGTTTTCATATTTTATATTTTCCACTAGAGGAAGGATGGACTCCTTTTTCCCATATAGGTCAGAGAACTAGGTATGGGTGAAGAACTTAGTATTTTTCTTCCAGTATCTGTAGTTCCTTCAATCTGGGCCATTTATCCCAGAAATAGCCCTCACATTTAGTTCCAATCCAATTGTTTCTCAGTGGCTTCACTATTAATTAAGACTGATATG